GTTAGGAGAATTTCCCTGAAAATGTAGTGATTTCGTTCTGAATCTTTGGCATTCAAGCAAGTTACTTACAGATCAAATTATGCATTTAGGGGCCATTTTTGTCACAATCTTTGTGTCCATTGTTATTATTTTGCGGCTTGTTATTTCCTTTATACCATACTTCTCTGAAAGGCTAAGATCTTGAAAGTAGATCACTCAATTTATCAGTATCTTGAAGATAGAGAAGCGTAAAATTATGTTTGTTTGGTGGATGAGTATTTTTGGTGATGTGTAGAGATTTGTTGACAATTTTGTTATCCTCCCTTGGGCCTTGCACCACCAAGAAAAGGTGCGTTATTTTAAGCTTAAAGTTAACACGAGCAAGTTTCTTTTAAAAGTCCCAGACTCAGTGTTGTAGTTTTGTAGACAATAAAGAGGTTTTCGCATGTCCTTGGAAATTGCCTTGTGTCTGTCTGTGCCATTCTCCACTTGTCTCCTGAAGTGGCTAAGAACAGGTTATAATTTGCCTAAGATGTCCTCTCTAAACTGGCAACATTTTGAGTGCTCCAAAATGTCATTTTTCCCGTAGCCGTGTACTGCTAAAGTTATCCTTTAAAGATCTTTCATCGTGTGTTCTTATTTGCTTACCATTTGTAGAAGGCCCGGCTAGGGCCTGACCCCTCACCCAGCATAAGGAATACAGCTGTCAAGACACTGCTTCTTACCCCTCCCACCCTTCTTGGCCAGACTTTCTCCTGCTGTTTCCCCCCTCTTCTTCTTATAAAGTTCTTCCCCTGCAAACACCACATGGTCTCCAGACATTGTTTCTTACTAATACGCAAGGATGTGCTGAAAGACTACACCCCTAGGCCCACACGAAAGTGTGCTCTTTCTCATTCCAAGGAGAATCTTGTTAGAACCAAGGTTTTGGTGCTGGAGTCGGTTTACTCTGCCTGGTCAGCGTGCTACCACATGAGCGACATTGTTGGCTGATGGCTTCATGCTATTTCCCGGATGGTGACATCATTTCTTTCCTCTGAATTTCCTCCCAACCCTGTGAAGAATAAATAGAATGCAATCTCTGCCAGTCACTGAATTCCCCACTAGTGAGCAAATGTGCAATTGCAATCCCTGGTGTAAACAGATTGAATTGGGAATAAGAAATTGATGCTGCTCAAGATATTTATGTTTTTGTCCCAGCTTTGGAAGCCACGAATGAAAAGAAAATCTAAACTGGTAGCCCACAATTATATTGCCTACTAGTATTTCTGTATTGACACAAGTTACGCAATCCTGAAGCATCATACTAGTACTAGTAGATTTATTATTCTCTGTCAGTACATGTGGAAAGATAAGATACAAATTGGCTGTACATTTGAAACTTGATCCACAACTTTGACCCTTGGTAGTCTGCATTTTACCTTCAACCCCCTATACCGGGTAGTTATTGCTTCATACTTTCAAGTTTAAAACAGCTTCCACCTAAATGGTGATGAAATTGCATTCATGCTATTGTAATCTTAGGAAGTTTAATCCTTTATTTGTACGGATAGCCTCTTAATTTGGGAAGGTTTTTGGCTGGATTGGTGCCTCACTGCATGGTGCTCATATTCACCATGTTGTTGCTTGGCCTAATCTAGACATTAGGATCACATGATTTTGCTTTTGGAAGAAGATGAAGAAGGGAAAAGAAAACAGGGATATAAATTCAAGTGATGCTAACTTTTCTCGTCATCTCTTGCACACATTCGCTAGAGCATATTTTGCAAATAGTTAGTAAGTTTCATATGAAAAGTTTGGAGCTAGGTATAATGTTACATGGCTTAGGTGTGACAAGTCATACAGTGTAATACAGTATTATGTATAGCCAGCTGTTGCCGTGTGTCCGGTGGTTACACTGGACGGCTGACTACTGAAGCCACAAAGATCACACCTTAGCTACTAGTCTACCTTTCTTTGGTTCGTAGAACAAAAGGTCTGTTTTTGTTGTGAATGGAATGTTGTAGAGTTAATGTTACGTCACCCTCTACACTGTCCCAGTCTAGCACACATTGTCACGCACCTGTTTTGAAATCTTGCAAAGTAAATTTTGCACCCGCGTCTCTGCTACAAAAATGTTACTGTAAGTTGTAACTGTTCCGCGGTGGAATTTCTATGCGGTCAGATTCACTCAGAATGTTCAGTTTGCACCCACCCCTACGCTGTGAAATGTTATTTTTTGCAGTGTCATTTGTTTCTAAAGTCTCATGGAAACAGGGTCAGCTCAGCCATAAATACTATTAGCTTGCACGTCGTACAGTTTGGGTCATGTAATAAACCAATCTTCCCACCTGCTACACCTTTTCAGAGAGACTGGAGTACATATTTAACTTTTGTTGAAGTGGACAGCAAGCAGCACTTATTTATTCAAGGAAACTGCTCAGTCTTGAATTGCAAGATGCTTTTGCCCCGATGTATCTTATTAGAAAGTATCTTCATACTTGAAATCAAGTTGAATGCGGTAATGTTGTTACTCTCTGAGGTTGTTGGGGAAAATTGTGACCTCCTCATGTCCGTTTTTTGTCCTCCCCTGCTATATGATAAGGTCATAATTTCCCCTGCAACCTCTGCTTGGAGAGTGCAGTGGTGAGAGTTGTAATACATGTGTTGGGTTTAGCATGGCTTATCCTCCTCCTGTTATTTTCCACCCAGCCCTGTTCAAACTACAGCATTCTGTCCCTGAGATCATCTTATACCGAGACCTGTTACCTAATCTCCTACTACCGCCTCCCCTGACCTCACATATGTATGTTTGTTTTGTGCCCCACAAAATTGATGCATGTCCCCAGAAAAAGGGATACTTGGATGTCTTTTGTGGAGCTCCATTTGGTTTCATTTCATCTGAGACTGCCAAACACACTGGCAGGGTTGCCTTTACTTACGGCTTTAGCTGGCAGTTTCACAGGTGGCTGAAGCCCTATAGCTGGAGAGAGTGACAGTTCTCTCGGTTGAGATGTTCTTGTGTACCTAGCTGTGGATATGATTCCCTTGCCCTACTTGTATCAAATATCTCTATAATGCTAGATGCCACAAAGACACAATATGGAACTTAGCATGATCTTCCAAATGCCAGGCAAAACCTTACTTATCGTAGTAGATCAACAGAAATGTGGGTCTTCCAAGAAGGTGTCCTTGAAATTGCAACTCTCCTTCGTTCAATGTGGACACAATCCTCAAATATAGCAGTTACTATTGTCATGGTAAAGAAACAGTTTCAACAACACTTACAGAGACACCTGAGACTGGTCAAAAATTGCCCAATCCAAATATTTATGTGATGAAGTGGGCTCTGATTTTGTAATTGAAAGGGTTGCTAACCTTTCACACTACAAAAATGCTAGAAAGTAAACTCACTGCTACCTTGTTATAGCCACTAATATTGAGTTATACACGTGTGTTGATAGGTATTCCATTTTCTACATGTATTCTTTGTTGAACAAACTTGGGAAATGCATTAGCAGAGTGAGTGCGTTGAGAATGTATACTTTTGCTAGGCTAATGATGTTGATGTTTCTTGTTCCCTTCCAGTGGTCTGACGCAGCAGCAAGAATCCAAGAGTGTGCAGCAGGTGTACTTCCGATGTGTGGAAGGGACGCTCGAATGGAAATATCCACGCGGAGCGTTACGGATTGTTCTCGAGCACGGAACGTCGGGAAGAGACTTTAAGGGATGCGTACAAGCAGACCGGACGTTTAGTGGTGCCAATGTTTATCTCGAAGAAGGTGAAAATCTAAAACTGATAATCCAAGACGGAGAGTCTTCTGACAATCTTGAAAGACTAAGATGTTTTAGTTCAAGAAAAGGAAGAACGGCTCTATATGTAGAAGCTGCTGCACACCTGTCTGGGGCAGAGGCTGTGGTCAGAAGAGCCGTGACTTTGAAATATGAACTTCAGCTGGTCACTCAAAGACATTTTCGGGATAATGACTTTGAAGGTAAGTTATTGTGGATCTTGGGAGACAGAATAATTTTGATGCACACCCAGAAATACTTTTATACACCCACACTCCACCCACATGCTGCCATTTGAATCACTCCTGTCCAGAACAGTCATTAAGTGCATTTTTTAACTTCAAATTCAACGGTGTTTTTTTTTCCCTCAGTTTCCCTCAATGGCTTATGAAATCGCTGTTTTACTCCGGTAACAAGAGAATGCACCTTCCTTTAATGCAATGTTGATTTAAATTTACCATGCAATTTACCGGTGTTAATTGAGACCATTTGCTAAGCACACAAAATTGATTGAGCGTGATTTTCACAGGTAAACGTGACAACAAACATTTGAGCTCCTACTGTTTCTCCCATATGTTGTTAGTACAAGAATATGTTCTAAAACTCTGCTAGAATCTGCTGTGTTTATTGTATCAAACTTAGGGTGGTCTTGTATTCAGCTTCTACGAGAGAAGAAAGCAAAAGTGGGAACTTTGTAATAGGGAAGTTTCAGCTTGTTCTTTGGGTTGTAAAATTTGAGCCCTGAACAGGTACATTTCCTTCAAAACAAAGGCTTCAGAACCAGTGAAATTTGGTGCTTCCTTCAAAAGAATTGTGTGCCATTAAGAGTGTTTTCAAGGCCTCAATATTTTGGATATAATCAAGTTTTGTGTTCTCTGTTTTGGACATTTTGCCCCCCCCCCCCTCTCCAGACACAAAAGAAATGTTCTGAAGGTTTAATGGCAGCAGGGGGTGTTGAGATAGGTTATTTGTGCTGCTGGTGGATTGATGCTAGGTATCAGTTATGGGGAGACATGCTTGACAAGGTGTTTGCTGTCACTTAGGTGATAGAATCGAAGTGAAACCGTACACTTCTAGATGAGACACATTTCTCACTTGGTTTGGTCTGACTAGCGAGTTTGCTGCAGGGTAGGCACAACCAGGTACGCATATCTTATCAAAACAAAATGTGTCATTATATTGGGCAGTGTGCCCTTTCTGCAGCTCTCTTGCCTGCCGGTGTGAGGATGGGCACACCGTCCACCAATCAGATTGGCTGGTGGCGTTTTTCATTGCGACACATTGTGGCGTGGTGCTTCCAGGTCAGCGGAGCTAAGGCTTGTCGTGTGAGCGCATGTCGCCCCAGGCTCGTCCCATTGTTGGGGGTGACATTTGAGTACTCAGTGCTTTAGAGATGTTTCAAAATGCAAGAAATTGTGTAATTGTGCACATCTGTAAGGATTTTCACTCGTCCTTCCTAGCCAGTGTTTACATAGCCTCAGTCGAGTGGCCGTGGTAACAATATTTTTCAGAAAAGATGCATCCAGTTAAGTTTGGTTGCTCATGCACTTGGTAAATTGAACTGTTTGGAAAAAAAACATCTGTTGCAGCACTAACTTGACAAAATGTAATTCTCATGTTTCAAATGCAATCCAGAAATATGGAGAACAATTCTATCTAAAGCAAAGGAAGAACAGGCATGTGTAAGATTTGCTTGAATGGCTGTGATTTTAATGGACTGCACAGACTTGATTGAGCAACACCTTCTGTCTGTGCAAGTGATGACAGAAGCTCTTATAACTGGTTAGCAAGATGGGTAAAATCACTTGTATTGTGCTTCAACTGCTGAACCATGGAAAACTGAATTTGTACAAAGTACAGCTTTGTTGTTGTTTACCTGTGTTGTCAGCCAGCCTGGCATGATCCAGCATTTTTCAGTTTCTGCTCTTTACCTAAGAATCTTGAAAATTCGTTAGGAAAACAAAAGAGTTTCAAGATGGAGGAATCAGATAGTGTCGAAAGATAGGGAATACTGTAGATTGCATCAGCTGGAAAAAAAGCTTCAGAGTAGTCTTCTTTGTTTACCCCCATTTTCTAAGCCACAAACATTTGCTGGGTCATCAAGTTGCCATAAACTGGGCAGTTGCCTTCAGGAAAGAGAGCAAATTTAGGAGGTGCTTTTTGCCTGCAAACTGGACCAACAGCATTCTTGAAGCAATGGGGCTGAGAAAACAAACAAAACGGAATGATAGCGCAGTATATCTGTAAACTGCACACAGCATCAGATGCATGTAGAAATATTTCGCCATTCCGGATGTCAACGTTTGTGCTCATAATCTGGGAATGCAGATTGAATGCTGGCACCGTTTGATAACAGTGGCATTTTGTCAACTGAAATCTGTGGGAACACAAATTTTTTACTGCTTGTTGTTCATTGACTCAATGACTGATTGAATTGAATCTTTTTACATAATTTGTTAGCTTGGTACTTGAAGTATCCTAAATTGTTAGCTTTTAGTCAGTTTGGGATAGAGCATGATATTTTCTATGTTGAAATCTGTTCTTGTAGAATTTTGTTGCCCTGTAGTTATAACTTCTTGCAGTGTCAACTAAAATTGAAAGGCCATAAATGTACAGTGGTGTGCGGTGGTTCTCTTGCTAAATTACACAATCGCGCATCTACTAGTAAACATGTCCAGACATGTGCACGTCATATGTTTGACGTGTGTGGGGCACACGCATTATATGTTCACACTCTACTACGCATAACTGTCAGTAGCAAAAGTCAAACTTTGAGGACATATGTTTCCCTGGGCCTACTCATCTTTCTAAAGAATCACTGACGCCCATTGTTTTAGTAGACACTGCTGACTTCTTACATGTCTTCTACAATCTCGCCTCTGGCGAATCACATTCTGACGCACCTTTAAGTGGCTAGTCGCGTGATAGGCGGCTGGCGCGGTGTATATCAATCAGGCTGTGTTGGCAGCCAGCCATGATTTTTGCTTTGCGATTTTTAGACAACACCATTGTTTGGGTTCTGGCCATTGTCTCGAAATTTTCACTGTTCTGTCAGTAGTATGTTGATCAAAATCTGTGCAACATTTTGGTCATCCTTGATTGTTACACATTGTACAAGCAGAAGCAAGACCAGGCGTTGTGGGATATTTAAATGCCCTACCAGGTGCCCTAGGCATATTTGCTTTGGGTACTAAAGGAACGTAAGGTCGTTGCTGTGAGGTCGTTTCTGATCCTTCTTTGCTCTGGTGGAAAGAGGGATGATCTGGTCGCCCCCCTACCTCTAGGTCGTCCACAAATCCGCTCAACTCTCATGAATAAATCAGAGTTAGCGATGAACAAGCACCCTGTTGTTACAGTCTGTCTTGCTCCTGCCACTGCTTTTTTTTGTTGGTTTGCTCACAAAGGAAGGGTCCAAACTCTGGTAAAGCAGTCCTCATGGGGGGATGGACCTTGGATAGGCAGCTGGTGTCCTGGCCTCAAACCTTCCCTGACTGGTACCTTTGTCAAAGGTCGCTCCTTGATGAAGTGTTCACCCCCATCCTGTTGAGGAAAAGGCACTTGTTGAGAATTTCTCATTTGATCCAGCCCAACAACAAAGTTACATTCAAGTAAGAAAAGTGATACTTGTAGTTGCTCCCCTCTGTGTAAGGTGTAGATGACAAATTGCAACTTATGTAGAAGATGATTCTTGAAAAGTGTTACTGTTATGGCCACAAATTAGCAGTAATTCAGTTCCCTTGCTGACACCCCCTCTTGGTAGTCCTTTATTGACGAAGATGACACTCCCTACCACAGCATAGTTTGTGCATTTTGTGTAGTTGTTTTTATAGAAACAAGATTCCCAACGTTCAATTCTGTTGTAAGTAGAAAAGACATTGTCTGGCAGTTTTACAGTGGTGTGAAGATTGATGGTCGGTATGTCACGACCCTGACACCCTCTACCCTGTCACAGTCCATGCCCAGGGTTGCACTGTGGCCTGCACAGAATCACAAAATAAAGTCATGTGGCCTGTCACACAGAGCTGGAAGTGTGCCAACTCGAAAGAACTAGAAAAGTCACTGAGTCACAAGTTCCAAATCTTACAGCATTTGTGATCAAACTTCTTCAGAAAGGAACAACATCTTCAGTTCCTTGCTGCGTCTTTGGTTTTACTGCACCTTTGGTTTTACTTTATCTTCACATCTTTCAATTTTAGTCACTCTCTTTCAATCTGCATACTACTTTTTTGGAGAAGAATGCTACATTTGCTGAAAAAGAACAGAACTTTTCTTGTTGGGCAAATTTATTATGATTACATCTTGTGCCATCATATTTTAGGTTTTGGAACCACAGAGTGGCAATTATCTTTCCTGTTGTACGGAATGTTTCAAGGAGAAAAGTTTGGAACATTGGATAGTCCTTCCAGGTTAATGTGTGGAAAAATGCAAATAGAGGCCAGCAAATAGGAATTGGATATCCTGTTGTATAATCTTTTAGGCAAATAAGTACAGAAAGTGATGCTGGGATGACACTTCAAGGCTGGAAGATCCTTGGTTTCAGCTTCAGCTTGCTTGAAAGGCTTTGGGAAGTAAACACACACTCACTCACTATCCGGTTTAAAGTAAAATTCAAATAAAATGGATTCCTGTATTTCTTTAAGGTAGGCGATGCGTAACAGTGACTTGTAGTGGTGCATACCGGTTCACTGGACTTGGATCCGGACTTGTAAAAATGTTTAGGTTCAAGTCCAAAAAAACCTAAAAGTCAAGAACCGAGTCCGGACTTATTACCATAAAAGACCATTTCACATACCCCTTTTCTTTTTAAACCACCTAAAACCATCCGTAGATTCCAAAATCTTTGCTGCAAAATGAAGAAAACATTACCATCGGGCATCGTCAAGTACCAGCCTCCATTTTATGTGGCCAAAGTTTCACCCAGACAACATTGCAAGGTTGCCAACATGCAATTTTGTATATGCCATGGGTTTAGGTCCGGACTTAAGTCCGGACCTGAACCTAAACCTCTGGACTTGAATCCGGACCTGAACCTGAAATTGGGTTTAGGTATGCATCACTAGTGACTTGTTTATCAACATGTTTTTATGAGGTCAGTTTCATAAATCAAATGGTTGTATACAAGAAAAAAATCTGAGGTTGACTGCCAAATCTGAAGGCTGAATTCTGCCAACATATCCTCTTCTCTTGTCTTTCAAGCATTTCTCCTTTTTAGGGCCTTTGTCTGTCCTGGATACCAGCATTCATACAAAAACAGACCAAACAGGTCCTTTGAAACAGTTACATTCAGAGAGAATGTAGTGGAAAGTTTTTGACAGAGGTCCGGAATCTTGATATTTATACCTAGTGTGTCAGGATAAACACTGGGGAGGCAGCCTGGAGTGCTTACTGCAGATAATGTGGCGCAAAGGAAGCCCAGAGCCATAGCAAATAGGGGGGTATAAAGTCCCTTTTGGGCAGTGTAATCCATAACTTGTAGGCGGCATGTATTGTGGGTACTGGCGTGTGCCCTGCATCGTGTTTCTGGACATGAAAGGGATAGAAAAACATGTAAACCAGGGGGTGAATACGGGGCCAGGACTAAGCGTATAGTGTTCTTGTCAGCTCAGAATGCAGGTCTCGTGTTTGGTTTCCAGCCGAGGTCGCTTTCACCATTGTCCTGCGCGCGGGGTGGGTTATCGGGGGAATCTAGATTAAACAGTACTCGTCCAAAGATCGCTGGTGCGCACCGCGACAGTTAGAAAACGGCGGTGCCGGAGCCTTCCGGACACACGCCTCAATTTGTTTGGCACGGACGATAATACCTATGACCCAAGATGGGGGTGGATGGGTGGTTGAGTTGGTATCAAAGGGAGCGGCTTGGCTGGCCCTACCTGGGGCTAGGCAAGCCGGACTGGTATTGGCTGATAGCCACAGGCCAGGCATTCTTTCATGCATGGGTACCTCACCTTGGTGTTAACCCACAAAGACTTCATTCTCTTCAGAAGACATTGCAACCGTTTTGCTGCAGTGCAGGATTATAAGACAGCATTGTACACTAAACAATGTAGATATCAAGACAGGATCTTTATAAAGTATAAAGAAGGACGTAATGGGGGTAATTAGTTATTCCAGCTCTGAATAAGATTGAGTGACGACCTTTAAAGTTAGTTTTATTGTTAAAAGAAACAATAAAACTAACTATCATTAGAAAAATTAAATTTCTCCTTGCTATTCAGTTATAGTAAAGATAAAAGAACAGATACATTTTTCCGTGCAAGGTTTGTTTAGTTGCAGTAGGAATAGAACTAGGGAAATATTTTTCTACAATTGTGTCACCCACCATTTTTTGGACAGCCTACAATGGCAACACAAGTTAAAGTATTGCTGTCTGTCTTCACTTCATAATTTTCCTCTCCCAGCCATTCAGTGGGGATATTTAGGTATGCAGGTTTTCTGAATGCAGTATTTGTAATGTCATACTACATGTGTGGATATTGCAGTGCTTTATTCATCTCAGCCATTTGAATACATTAGCATGAAAAGAAAGGGGAAGATGGCAGGAAATGCCACAGACAGCCAGTGATGTTTAGAATTTGTTGATACTACATATAGTACATAGTCTTACATCTATGTACTGAAAGTAAAGGACAAATATCAGTCAGGTCAAATATTATTTCATTAACAAGAATTGTTATGCTAAGACTTATGTAGATGGATGTCAAGTACAATGTATCATAATGTAATAAGAACGTCTTGTTTTTATTTTTTTTCAGAGTGCCGGCCATGCAATGACACTGAGCTGATGACAGCTTTCTGTAGCAGTGACTTTGGTAAGTTTGTGCACCAGTTTTGAATGAGTGTTGTAAACCCACACCCCTTTTTCTGCTGTCCAACATAGCTGGCAATCATGATTTTGTCATGTTCTTTTGTTTTCACATACTCCCACAAAATCCTTACCTTTTCTTGTAATCACGTTTCTCGTGGAAACACCAAATACGAAACGTCTTTAATGGATATATATACGTATTGAAAAACAAGGTATTTCTTAAGATGTTTTGTCAATAAGTCTAGTGTGATTTCTGGATCTGTTCCCGAAATTCAAAACAATGCATGATGGGGCATCAAAGTGGAATGGGACATGGTACCCTCTTTCCCACTTCAGCGACTACCGATAACATTTCATTTTCCCAAAATTATATTAGAATTGTCATGTCATGGCAACTGATTGCCATCGCTACGGCCCTGGGGTCAATAATTAGAAGTAATACCTCTCACACTTTGCGGCAGATAGCCAGTTTGGGATGCATTAGCACCAAGTATCCAGTACAAATCAAATTCCCAGCAGGCTGCCTCCATATAATGGAGCCCTTTCTGGACATAAGCCCATCTCAAAATCCCCAAAGAGACCAGACTTGTATAACTGATGAGGTAATACCTTTCCCCCAGAGACTGCAAAATTTCCATTGTCTGCAACTATCGTGTCATCCATTTAAATAGTGTACAAGATTGATTTTTTTGTTGCAGATTGCCGAGTGTGCAATCTTAGGTGAAAATTAGGTTTCTTATAGGTTGCCCATTGCAAGCATCACCTTCTTTCACACTTTAAATCTTCCATCCTTTTGACATTTCTTCGTCAGAGCTTCTTGTCTCTCGTGCGTCTTGCACAGTTGTACTTCCTCTGCACATCCGAATAAGTAATTTCAAGGCCATTTTGCACATGTTATTACCGGTGGCTTGATTATACTCTTTACCACGATTGTCTGACACCAAATACCAGGTTCTCAACTTTTTCCCTCAGAAATTTCAAAGCACCATGGAAATTCTCAGTTGTGTGCCCATACGGAATGGTCCATGGTGTAGCGGAAAGGTCATTTATAACATGACCTGACACACTGCCATTATCAATTTATCGTCCGTTTTACCTCCTCCCAAGTTAATGCTAGGTCTGCGGATGGAAGAGAGTTTCATATTAAGTTTTCCCACCATCCATTTCTAAGGTTTTCTTTTCTCTAGTAAGATCCCCACAGGTTGCCATCTGCCAAGCTAACAGAATACTGTTTTTTAATACTTTAAAAGTTTTTTTGATCACTATGTAGAGATACATAAGCTAAGAAATAAATGAGAAAAAGAATATTTAAAAACAGTCAACAGATGAGTATTTTTAGGGAAATATCTATGTGTCTTTTTGAATCAGTCTGTTACTGTCATTCCTTACTCAAAGCATTAGATTTTGGAAGAGATTTTGTTAACAAGGTAAAAATGAATTTGTGAACAGTCCTCAGAATACACTATTTTCACTTGTTAAAAGTTGTATCACTATGAAATTGTTGCACTGCAGTGTTTTGCTTTGATTTTAAAGTTTAAAGAAAATGTTGATACAATACAGGCTACTGTTGTTAGTTAACACACTTGTAAAATGCAATAACCATTTTAAGAAACTGCTCTGAAATGAATAGCTTGTTTCCATTTTGGGTCACCCTTAATGCTGGAACCCTGGTGAACTCCATTGTATTCCAATATGGAATTGTCCTGGCAGCTGGGCAAAATATATCAGCAGGACCTTCTTTATTGCACAATGACCAGCAATAGCTGTTTACCCACCACAATGGAGTAATTCTGGTCTCGCTTGTCAGATCCCGCCGCTGCCTTTGTGCCAAACGGACGATTAATAAACATTGACGGGATTCAGACCTGTTTTCAACAGTCGATCAGCCTTCTATTCCGCCCTGCTAACAGGGGAATGGATTTGCCATGCCTACTTTTTTGTGGTGAAGTGCAAGCGTGGGTCTCCCAGACAGATGCACAGATGCTAGCATGAGGGAGAAGGGAGGGTGTCCGAAACATGTGAATTGTGCCTGCCTGCTTCCCTGCCATATTGCCCCTCCATCCTCATTGGCTGAGCAACAATTGATTTTCCCTCCGCCATTGTCCCACCAAAAAGGGGACACAGTCGAGCACTCTTGCGCAGAGTTCAGTAGCCTGGTCATTCAGAAGAGGGGCTTTAGTGCCAGGTGTTGTAGGAAGGGCCACTTTGACCAAAGCACCATTTTCGTTCTTGTGTTTTGTTTGGTCCAACACAAGTGGACAGATGTCACCGAGCCCAGAGAGTTGCCAAATGTGTTTAATAAAGAGGGTGTAGGAGCCATGTGTTGGTATGTACATGGCAACATTTTCATTAACACAATCGCCTTTTTGTAAAGAGTTCAAGGATCTCACAAAACTACGTCTACAAATTTGTTACGTCATGCCACAGGCTAACTCTATGTACCCGGGTACAGTTTTCCACTCCAATACCTCATGAGTATGTTGGACCAGATCTTGGAGTTTGTTGAGGAAGGGAAAGAAATGTAATACCCTTTCTTTCTTGACCTGTGGTGGCCTGTAGGCTCTCAAATTGGCACAGTGTGTATTTAGTTTAGAACTATGGACAGCACCAATGTTATTGTCATGCTGTACTCTGTGATACCGGTATTTTAAAAAAATGTGCAGATTCTAACTTCTTAACTAGCAATCATTTATTACCAAAGGCTATTCATTTTTGCTAAAAGATATATTAAGTTAACGTCAAAAGAATTATATCATCCCAAATGCACTGAGTCACCAAGTGAAGTGTACTAAATCTTGAAAATTTCTGAATGAAGCACACCCCTTGGCAGATGGGGACAGGCCTCTCCTGACAGTCTCTCCTCCCCCATTCCTTTGAAGATTTCAATTTTGCACAGTCATAATTTATGGCAAAAGCTATTTCCCCTGCAAAGGAATATTGCTAGGTAACAAAGCTCATAATGAACCCGTGACTCCCCATGATATGAGATGCCCACAAATTGATAATCATTAGCACCTATTCAGGGAACCTTTAGAAAGAAGGCGTAAACAAGTGTCCATGAGAGTTTGATGGAGTGCTTTGAAGTTTGTTAATGGTTGCCTCTTCTTTCAAGAGGAGTGTCACCATCTTGCTGAGAAAACTAATCTCCAAGCAGATCATACGGTGGCAAGGCAGTATCCATTGGCCAGAGGAGTGTCCATTAGCCACCGAAGATCTGCCTGCAGTCGAAACGTCAAAGGCTATTAACACCTAGTTGTTGCCTACTCAGAATGTGTTTGCCAAGTAGTTTATTGCCCTAACCACCGGGCAAGGCTATTGTCCTCCTTGTGGGGCTGCATGGTTGGCCGTTACAGGAAGTCTGTCTATGGGTCACAACACCAACTGTTATACATGTATTGGGCAGTTTAAACAATGGATCCGGAGGAGAAGGTTCACCTTGTGTTTTGTAATGTCTGGCATGGGGTTTTAAATTTTAACCATAAGTTTCCATTTCCATGTTTCAGAAAGCATCACAGTGCCAGCATACAGTATCTGATTCAGTTAGGGGGGGAACTCCCACTGAGATGTGCGCGGGTGACTGAATTTGTCCCAGATTCAAGCTATAAACCGCTTGTAAAAACCTTAGCGTGGCCAGTTTTTCAATTGCTGTTAATAGGGGCACAAGGAGGGGCAGCAACACCATTTTTGAAAGGAAGTGCTCCTCCCTGTGCGAGTGCGGGCAGATCTTCGGTGGCTAATGGACACTCCTCTGGCCAATGGATACTGCCTTGCCACCGTATGATCTGCTTGGAGATTAGAGAAAACATCCATTACCTTCCAGGTGCTGGGTGCGCACTGGAGGGTCCAGTCTAAATCTAGCCATGTAACAAAAGAATGATAGAAGTCAAAAGGGACTGCGACAGTCTTGTAAATGCATAGAGATGAAGCAGCATTATCTTGTGACAATCTATGCAGATATTGATAATGATAGTGTTACTGTGAGTTACACAGATTCAACAAATGTTGATAAGATCAGGGAAAAGTGCTACAATTTACCATAATTTCTTTCATTTTCACTACTGCACCCCCACAGTAGGAGGACAGAAGAAAAGCTAACCATCTACCCCTGGCATCATGTCATAGTATCCTTGACTGAGTTTGACTGGATTTCTGATGGGTTCACAAAATGTGGCCATTTTCATGGGAGGTCATGGCAATTTAGGATTATTGCTGTCGGTGATGGAGCATTTTCCATGCTGGAATTGATTGGAGTGGAAGGTAGTCCCACAGGTCCCAGCCCATCACCACAGGTAGAGTGGACATTACTGCTCCCACCTGGGAATTGTGTGCGTGGGAAAGTTGCACACATCTCTGCAAGTAGCCATCAAAAACAATAAATATGTTAAAACGGGATATTTGGGCCAGTAGTAATGCAATATTGCTAATTGGCATCATGAATATTTTTCATAGACATCCATTACACCATTACACTGGTGGTTGAGATTAGCCACAAACTTAGTAATTTCCACAATTGTTTTTTTTGATAATAGAGTTTTATTTGGTATGGTTACATCACTACAGACGGATAAAAAGTTCAAGGACAAAGGATGTTCCAAAGCTGTGTGATGACCACAAAGGGAAACAGTGTTCTACCAAAGATGGCAGACCGTGCATGTATGGCCACTGCATGCTGAGGGAGGGCTTGTGCAGGTCTTTTCAAGAAACCAAATGAATCGGCCGGATGGCTTTTCAGAAAGACAACCATTTGGAGTGACCTTCGATGACCGCACTTAATCCTTAGGGTCATTTTGCATTTTGGTTAAAAGGATTACGTTGTCCGAATTGGAGTAATACAGCACAGTGCACAAACTTGAGCAACGCTTCTCAGAATTTTTTTTCTTTTCCCCAATGTTAAGTTTCCATGGAAACAGCAGGATCTAGGCTGTATTTTTGTTGTAAAGCCACAGAGGACAAATGAGAAGGAGTACGCTGATTCAATTTGGGAGTTGTAATTATTGGCTCCTA